TGGGGAACCACCAGTGCCAGGTGCTCTGCAGATCGCAGCGTTCTGCGCGGGGTATACACAGTCAGCAACTCTGACAAATACTGCGGAGCAAGTCTGTGAAGTGCCTTAAAAACGAACAACAAAACTTTAAATTGCACTCTCCACTGCACTGGAAGCCAGTGCAACGAGCGGAGAACCGGAGTGATATGGGGATATTTAGATGTGTTGGACAACAACCGGGCTGCAGCATTTTGGACTAATTGCAATTTTTGAAGAGAGGATTGCGACAGGCTGGCATAAAAAGCGTTACAATAGTCCAGACACCCCGTGATAAAAGCATGGATCGCTCTTTCCAGATTTGCACATGATAAAAACGGCTTAACCTTCGCTAGCAACCTTAAGTGAAAGAAGCTAGATTTGACTCCGGCTCCAATCTGTTTTTCAAAATTCAGCCACTATCAAATATCACTCCCAGGTTTGTCAGCAAATCTTTAAGCGGAGGGGCTGGCACACCTAAATTAGGGACACCTGCGTGTGGTCCGGCACTGATCAACATGTACTCAGTTTTACTGTCATTTAGATGCAGGAAATTCTGCGCTAACCATCTCTTAATATCTCGGATGCAATCCTCTAAAGGGGCAAGTGAATTTTGATTGTCTTATATTAGCAGTATATAAATCTGTATATCATCCGTGTAAAAATGAAAGTGAACATCATGATTCGCTATAATGCATGCTAATGGCAGCATGTACAGTATTGTTCAAAATAATAGCAGTACAATGTGACTAACCAGAATAATCCAGGTTTTTTGTATATTTTTTATTGCTACATGGCAAACAAGTTACCAGTAGGTGCAGTAGATTCTCAGAAAGCAAACAAGACCCAGCATTCATGATATGCACGCTCTTAAGGCTGTGCAATTGGGCAATTAGTTGAAAGGGGTGTGTTCAAAAAAATAGCAGTGTCTGCCGTTGACTGTACAAACACAAAACTATGTTGTACAAACGTTTTTGTTTCTAGGATTTAGCAATCCTGTGAATCACTAAACTAATATTTAGAGGAGGACAGTACCGCTCTGCAGACCTGGCAGAGGTGTACCAGGTGGTGAGTCAGCTGCCGGTTACAAATTCGAAAATTCAAAGACAAACAAAATTGGATCCTAGCTTGTCAAAAGTCTTCGAAATTACAGTACAGGGATGGCCAGCCAACAGCAATCCTCTGTTTCCTGAGTTTTCATCTCAACGTGACCAACTTCAGTGTGTCAAGGAACCCTGTTGTGTGGATCTCGTGTAGTGGTTCCATCAAAGCTATGCTCCAGAGTTTTACAGACTTTACATGAAGGGCACCTAGGCACAGTTAAAATGAAGAGTCTAGCCCGTGGCTATGTCTGGTGGCCGGGCATTGATAAACAAATTGAAGACATCACAAAAACCTGGTTGTCAAAAGGTTCAGAATGAGCCAACATCAGCATCCCTTCATCCATGGGAGTGGCCTTCTGCCCCCTGGCGAAGAGTGCACATAGATTTCGCTGGCCCATTTAAGAACTCCATGTTTCTGATTGCAGTTGATGTCCACTCCAAGTGGCCAGAGGTGATACCAATGAAATCTACTACCTCAGAAAATACTGTGTCTGCCCTTAGGACCATCTTCGCTCGGAATGGTCTACCTGAGCAGATCTTGAGTGATAACGGACCACAGTTCGCCTCTGACGTGTTCAGTCTCTTCATTACGTAGAATGGCATCAAACATATCAGGTCAGCACCACACCATCCAGCCACAAATGGCTTAGCTGAGAGATTTGTTCAAACCTTCAAAAGAGCTGTTAAAGCTATGGACCAGGAGGACTTGACCCTTCAACACAAGGTGGATAATTTCCTCTTCAGCTATAGGAACTCTGTTCATGCTACAACGAACTAACCTTAGATCTCGAATTGAGCTCCTAAAACCAAACTTGCGACAGGAAGTACACAATAAACAGTTTGCCCACTTACCAACAACGCCGAGAAGGGACTTTGAGGTCAGACAGGAAGTCTTGGCACGTGACTACAAAAAAGACAAATGGACGCCTGGAAAGATAATCACAAAATCTGGACCTTTGATGAACACCGTTGATGTTGGAGAGCAGAGTACTTGGAGACGTCATGTGGATCAGATCCTGAATGCTGAGCCATCTGTTAAGGCATCACCACCCCAAGTTTTTTCCTCAAGTACTGAGCAGAACGTTGTTCCGGATAAGACGCCTTTGCCTGATGTTGATGTTTCCACCCAGAGCCCTTCTACTATGGAAGCTACACCACAGCTTCAGAGGCGTTATTCTGTTAGGCACAGAGCACCCCCTAAAAGACTGGACTTGTGATTGTCTTGATTTTTCACACCACAGATAGTTGTGTTAAAAAAAAAAAAAGTTATTGGGTATCTGTGTGGCATGTTCAAAATGCATTATTGTTTCAGGAGTGTTATTGTTGACATTGTTAAATTGTTTTGCTTTATTCAGGGTTGTGGGTAGTGATCTAACAGGGGAGGAAGTGTAGTGTTTGGATCTACTTTCAGTAGCGTAAGGTATTGTTGGGCGCGCGCATGTATGCGGCTGTCTTCTCATAGAAAACGTTACGAGTTGTAGCCAAACAAAATGTATAGTAAACTAGTGAACCTGCAGTCACCGCCCCCACCTCATTATTCTTTATGAAGTTGTTACAGACACAACATCGCCCAGTGGCTCGGGCCAGCCTCCCTCAGGATAAGCCAAGCCCACTTCACTTTGCTCTCTTTAACGCAAGATCACTTAATAACAAAACTTTCATCCTTAATGATTTTATTTCTTCATATGATTTGGATGTGTTTCTTATCACTGAAACCTGGCTGAAACAAGGTGATAGTCTTTTTTCTGAGCTCCAACCGGCTGATTACTTATTTTTCAACACCCCGCGCCTCGCTGGTAGAGCCGGCGGTCTGGCATCTGTTTTTAAGCTGACCCTAAAATGTCACCTTTCTCCCGTCCATGGCCTATTCTAGTTTTGAGTTACAAACCTTTATTGTAACACTGCACTGTCCTATCTTATGTGCAGTTATATATCGTCCCCTTAAATCTAGGGATTTTATTAATGAATTTGGGGAACTTTGTGGAATAAGCGCTTCCAAGTTTGATAGTTTTCTGATTTGTGGAGACTTTAACATTCATGTCAACTGTTCTTCTGACCAGCTGGCAAATGAGTTTAACTCACTGTTGGACTCCTTTGATCTCACCCAGTCAGTACTATGCCCCACTCATCAATGTGGGGGCACACTGGACCTCGTCATCTCTCGAGGCCTGGCTGTGTGTACTGGGGATGTATCAAACTCGGCCATCTCTGACCACTTCTTCATCTACTTCGAAGTCCTGGTACCGTCAGGTGTACCTAGACCTATGGCCCCATACCAGTGCCGCAGGATTATTACTCCTTCAACAGCTCCGGACTTTGCTGCTGCTTTTCTAGCCTCTGAGTTCTACTCTTCAGAAGCTCTGAACCCTCCTACATGCACCGATGCCTTTCTCTCTTCGTTTGACTCTACTTGCTCCCGGTTTATGGATTCTGTCGCTCCCTTTAGAAGGAGGAGGGCTAGAAACACTCCTGACCCTTGGTTGAATGACGTTGCAGGCAGACGGAGCGTAAATGGAAGAAGGATGGACTGCACGTCTCCCTGGACATTTTAAGGGACAGCCTGGCATCATATCAGAAAGCTGTAAAAGTTGCTAAAACCCAATATTTATCTAATATTATTTTGAATAACAGTCAGCATCCAAGAGTTCTTTTCAAAACTATCAATTCAGTTATTAATCCTGTTGTTGCTTTGGCCACTGAGGGGTCGGGTCTGACTGCAATGAGTTTCAGAGGTACTTCATTGATAAAGTTTGGGCTATTAGACAAAATATTCCCAAGCTTCCACCTTATGTACTGCCTATATCTCATGTACTGTATACTCTGGAATCCTTTACTCCGATCTCTCTACCTCAAGTTAAAAAATGTGTGTTACAGCTAAAGTCTGCCTCCTCCCCCCTGGACCCTGTCACAGCCAGCATAGTCAAGGAGTGCGTCAACACTGTTGGGCCCTCTCTGGTCACATTCATTACCTGCTGCCTTAGGTTGGGCTCGGTCCCCACCGCCCCTAAGCATGCAGTAGTGAGGCCACACCGCAAGAAGCCTAACCTCGACCCCTCCCTTCTGTCCAACTTCCGCCCAATTTCCCTTCTGCCTTTTTTATCTAAGGTTATGGAAAGAATCGTTCTTACCCAGTTTCAGTCTTATCTGGATCGTCTGGATGTTGCTGATAAGTTTCAATCAGGCTTTAGGCCGCGTCACAGCACAGAGTCTGCTTTACTGAAGGTCCATAATGACATTACCATGGCCCTTGATGCCAAGCGCCCCCCTATCCTAGTTCTTTTAGATTTAGGCAGCTTTTGACACTGCTGACCATGCAGTTTTGCTTTCCCGGCTGGAACACCTCATTGGCCTGAGAGGGGCGGTTTTAAACTGGTTTATTTCTTTCCTGACCAATAGAACCTTCTCTGTCATTATTGACAATTTCTCCTCTACCATAGCCCCTCTTACCTCAGGCGTCCCACAAGGCTCGATCCTGGCACCGTTACTCTTTTCTTTATATATGTCACCACTTGATTCAATCATATCAAAGCATAATGTTCATTTTCATTTTTATGCGGACGATATTCAGATTTACGTGCCACTGATACAATGTGATTTGACCGCACTTACTCCACTACATAATTGCATTCGTGATATTAAGCAATGGCTAGCCCAGAATTTCCTTCATTTAAATGAGAGCAAGACTGAGTATATTGTTATTAGCCCCGATCCAGCCACTGTTGTATCCAGTTTAGGTGCTTCAGCCCCCTCACTCACAGATACTGTGAAAAAACTTGGAGTGATATTTGATAGCGGCCCTAATTTTGATATGCAAATCAGGGCCATGGTTAAAACCACCTTTTTTTACCTGAGACTTTTAACGAAGGTGAAGCCCTTCTTGTCGCGTGCAAATTTAGATAAAGCTATCCATGCTTTTATCACTTCACGACTTGACTACTGCAATGCCCTCTATGTTGGAATTTCTCAGTCTCTTCGGAAGCTTCAACTGGTCCAGAATGCTGCGGCTCACCTGTTGTCGAACACCTCCAGGTACGCCCACATCAACCCCGTCCTTCTCTTGCTACGCTGGTTGCCAGTACAGTTTAGAGTTTGTTTTAAGATGCTGCTATTTGATTTTAAGGCTATGAATAGCCTCGCTCCGCCGTACCTGTCGGATCTGCTGTCTATCTATGCTCCGCGCAGAGCTCTGCACTCCTCAGAGCATCTGTCCTTGGTTGTGCCACGGTCTCGATATAAAAAATGGGGCAATCGCTCTTTTGCTGTGTGTGGCCCTGGACTCTGGAATTCTCTACCGCTAGAGCTACGGTCCATAACCGAGTTAGCGTTTTTTTAAGTCAACTTTAAAAACTCACCTCTTTAGACAGGCCTTTGGTGTTTAATTTGTTTTACTTGCCCTGTAGGGACGTCGTTAACTTGTCTTATGCTGTTTGTATCTTGATAGAAGTTTTTTATTGCTCCTGTTTTGTAAATTTGTGTTTTATTCTGTTTAGGTTTTATTGTTTTAGTAATGTTTTCTATTTGCTACACATGTTCTATTGTGCAGCACTTTGTGCTCCTCGGAGTTGTAAAGTGCTATATAAATAAAGCTTTATTATTATTATAGAGTGGTGGTTAAGTACCAACCACTCATCAAGGCAATCTGCCACAGGTGAGGTGCATTCCTGAGATACCAGCATCTGTAGAGGGAAGGAGGGAGAGAGAGAGACACAAAGAGAGCGACAGGGAGTGAAGCACAACCCTGACAAATAATGGCAGCAATATTTGAACCCACAACTCATGCTTGACAAACAGATGACAACAAACACCCAAACGCCATGAAAACCCCGTAAATAATAATGCAACTTAACTATGTTGTAGATTCATTTGTATGTGCGCTGTAAAGGTGATGGAGCTACTGTAGCTCATATACTTTGTCAGTCATTTGTGACGGAGCTACTCCGTCACAACAGAAAAGACAAAAGAGCTTCCACAAAAGCTGAGAGAGGAGATTATTTCATCACACCTGAAGGGCCTTTTGGGTATAAGATTTCCAAAAGATTTAACATTCCAAGAGACACCATTGGAAATATTACAAGGAAGTTTAAAACTTAAGGAACAGCTGCAAACCTGCCTGGCTGTGGAAGATAGCCCAAAATTTCATCAAGGGCCCTTAGCAACTTACTCAGGACAGCTAAGAAAAATCCCCGTGTGAATGCAAGACACCTATATAATGACATGATGAAGGCTGGTTCAAGTACTTTAGTGGCAACTATAAGATGTGCACTGAATAAACAAGGACTTCATGGCTGGACCCCAAGATGCACTCCACTCTTGACCACAACGGGCGTCAAAAGTCAACTAGAATATGCCAGGAGAAATTTGGATAAGACTACAGAGTTTTGGGAGACAGTTCTATGGACTGATGAAACCAAACTGGAACTGTTTGGACATATGGACCAGCGGTATGTCTGGCATGCAAAGGACTAGGCTTATGACCAGAAGAATACCATCCCCACGGTCAAGCACGGAGGTGGGTCAATGATGATGTGGGGCTGTTTTTCTGCGGCAAGAACTGGCTATTTTGATCGTGTACCTGGCATCATGAATTTCCAGAAATACCAGGCCATTTTAAAGAGGAACATGATGCCTTCTGTTGACAAATTAAACCTTGGTGATCATTGGATTTTCCAGCAAGACAATGATCCCAAGCACGCCTCCAAGTCAAGCAAAGCTTGGTTGTGAAAAATATCCTGGAATCTCCTGGAGTGGCCTGCTCATTCACCAGATTTAAATCCAATT